ATTCTTTACCGGTCCCTCCCTTACTTCCAGCCGGCAACCCAGAAGGGTTGGTCTGCCCAGGCTTTAGGTGCCTGAAGAACGCCCTCCCCTTGGTCCATACTTTCGAAGCGTATGTCCTTTTCCTCCGGTGCGACAACCTGGCGGTTCGGCTAGTGTGTCCTCCGCCAAGGACCTGGTCGCTCGGTTCTCTGATCTCGGGCCCCGGTTCGAATTCAGCCCTCTTGTGGTACTGTCATAGATCACTACTACCTCCAAACTCGGGACTTGCCAAATGGGTTTTTGGTTATTCTGGTTCCTCGGAATTATTGCGCCAAAGCTCCTATAACTAGATGGTATGATCGAGATTACAGATTTCTAGATCCAACCGATAATCGACAACCGTAAACCATAACACAGGCTATTTTCCAAAATTCGTTGTCCGTGGGATTTGAACTCTAGACCTACCACTTGGAGAGGGTGATAACTAGACCACTACACTAGGTTGCCACACCTCAATATTAAAGTTTTTTTTTTCAGATTATGTTAATTAAGTGTGAAATGTAAAAGTGCCTCATTATGCATCACAAATATCTTAATTTACATATATATACCAACCGGGTCCAAATTTCTTTGTTTAATATCTTTAATTAATTTACAAAGACTTTTCATGTAATCATATATAGTCTTTTGACCGAACAGTTATTCAAAATGTTTTATAGAAATTCTCGACAAGTTCTATGTGTGCAATGTTTAAAAGATATAAATTCAACTCTTTTCTATCAATTCGAATCAACTTAACAATTTAAAAATATCATCATGTTAAACATCAAACGAAATTATGAAACATATTGTAAAGATAATGAAATCGACTTTCTATCAGAAAATAAACCTTTATTCAATAAAAAAAAACCCAAAACACAAAAAACACAAACTCAACCAATATTCAACATTAAGTCAGCAATTATAGTTATCTCTGATTCAGATGATAACAATGATTCAGATGACGATGAACTGCCATCTCTCGAAACTGTGTTAAAAAACATAACCAAATTCACCAGATACAAGAAAATTAACAATATTGAGCTTATCGAGATACAAGATGATACCATGGCTGCGAATAATAATAATGATGATTTCACGTATACCACAACAATGATCATTTTCTCAGAATCAGTAAAAAGACAATACAATCTAAACTAAAAGGCATGGTGAAAAGACTCAAATCCAAAGAGGCTATCAGATATATCGCTAAAATTTGTAAATATAAAGAAAGTTATAAGTACTACAATGATTTCAAATCCCTATTTAGACGGCAACTCCAGGATCCTTTAGCCATTGATCGATTAGTTCCTGGATATTATGGAATGAAAGGGTACATGCTAATGTATGAACACTTGATGAAAAACACCGCAGTGTGGGAACTAAACCTAGGAACAGATATGAATAAACAAGAATTTATGCGAGAGGTTATTATTCCCGAATTGGGTGTTATGTTCATAATGACAGATTTCGAGATCTATGATTACGACACTGCTATAATAATCACACGTAAGAGCGTTGAATACGGTAACAAGAATTTTTTCGAAGACAGAAATGATGATTGTTTTTGGTGAAAAGATATGCCATTATACATGTAATTATGTAAAAAGTAATTCAGTATATGAATTGTAAACTAACAGTTAATATAAATTGTAATATAAACTAGAAGCTTTAAAATAATTATATTTTATAGTTTGCATCTCAATTATAAATATAGTTGTTAGATGAAACTATGTGATACTATTAGAATTAAATTGTCACATATTGAAACTTAATAAAAATTAGATTAAATTTTTAGATCTGTATTTGTTGTGAGTGACAATTAAAAATTACATGATTTTGTCTAGCAACTATAGTTATGCCCCTGTTGTATATTTAATTTCATTAGTAATGAAATATTAAAAAATTGCTTCAAAAAAAGATATGATCTGAAACTATAATTAACAACATTTTTGTATTGTATTTTTTAAAATAATAATATTAATAATAAAACTACTTCGTAATTATTGCACCATGTCTTTAATAGTTTCAAAAGAAAAAAAAAACAAATACAATGTGGTTTATTTTGTACGATTTTTTGTAAAGATATAAAAAAGCAAAACATTAAGTGCCTTTCTGTATTCAAATTTATATCTAATAATTTTTTGTGAATATTCAATTTCACGTGAAGAATTAATTTCATATTTATCATTTTTTTGGCCAATTAGACCATTCTATAAATCATTGTTTGCATTATTTAATATATAGAAATTCAGAAACAAGGCTTTTTAAGAAAGTAAAACTTGTTATTAAATTAGATACCAATTTCCTATTCATAATAAAATATTAAAGAACTTTTATTCAATTTACAAATATTGCATTTTCACAATAGTACGATTAAAGTTCATTAACATTATTTCAATGTTTGAAGCTTTTTCATAAAAAAAAAAATAACTAGCAAGAAATTATAATAAAATATTTGGTTAACAATAAACTATTTAAAGTTATCGAAACAATCACATGATTTATTCAAAAATTCTTTGTGTTAGTACTGTGGTTATTTGACCAATCATGTGAAGGTCAAGAAAACATATTTAACTCGATTTATCTCAAGTTATATTAATATATAAACTATACACGAGCGATTAATAATGCAGCAAACTAATATTTAACCTGTTTTTATTAGAATGGAAAAATTATATAATTTATTCTTATATAATAGAGTTTAATGTATATTTCAGTATTTGCAGTAAATTTTTAGAGTGTATAGAATTGTAAAAACTTGTAATACTTTTTGTAAGGTTATTTGATATGTTTATCACATATATATATATAGTTAATGATTATGGTCATGGCCAATAATTATAATCCGGCGAATCAATTGGATTTCTTAAATTTGTGAGGCGAAAACGAAATTGAAAATCAACAATTGGAAAAAATAAAAATTAGTAAGTTTAATAATTTAGATATTAATTAAGAAACCCTGTTT